CCCCCTTAGGCTGACGAAGCAGGACAGTTCAACTTTTCAAACACGAACGCCCTCACAGAAGGTCAGACGTTACATATGGCACAAACTGGACAAATCTTCTTTACATGTCTCGGAACAGCAAGGAACCCATCAAGAAGGCACTGTTTACAACACTTGGATAACCGCTAGATTTTCTGTGACTTGAGCATACCCTTGAAACAGCAATAATCAAAACTTGGAGATGTACAGAATCCTTGTTACACGTTATTTACACAAACAGCGGTGAAATGATACAGCCCTCAAGAAACTATACGAAACGTGGACTCCAAAGTCTGTTTGATGAACACCAGTCCAGCAAAATAAAAAAGAACAGAAAGTTCCAAAGGCACAGGAGGGCAGCGAACAGCTGACACAAAAGAGGAGGGGACTGCCATCGCTACATGTTATGGGACAACCAATTTACGAGATGTAAGTGGGGGTGGGGTGAGGAAACAACCAGGCTGTACCCTCATTAAGTAATGTCAACTCTTTACAAGGAATCACCATGTGAAAGCAAGAAACTTCATCTGCTGCTGAAACTGGTGCTTGCTACGTTTCACGTGGCATTATTTGCTTTTTCTTACCTTAGGTCATCTGTACCTAACTAGGCAATCTGTACCTAAATGGCAAATTAAAGGCTTTGAGTGCATTTGAAAATAACAAAACAAACCCAAAGCAACAAAACCACATGGCAACAAATTCTGAAAATATTTCCTGTACAAGAAAAAAACCCAAGATTTGTAAATCAAATGTGAAAACAAGTGCTGTTTTAAACTTTAAAAACTAGTAGCAGGCCACAGCCCTCAATCATCTGCAAACTGTACAATCAATTTTTGTAACTCTGCAGAGCTCCGTCTTAAGTACATAATATTCAAGATCAGCTACACATCATGGTAACATAGGACAAGAGTGATGCGCTAAAGAAAAGGCTTCATACACACGTGACCAGCTGTACTGTAAAAATTAGGCAAGAAACTTCTTTGTTCTGTTCACAAAGAAACATCATACAAAACCCAGCAAAACTGGAATTACTAGGTTTTAGATGTACTTTTTACAATTTAAGTTATCTAACCATACAGTCAAGCAGAAGGCTGCCATTTTACTTTTTGAAAAGTTTCATCATGTATTCTTTAGCTTCCCGGATCATCACTAAAACCACTTTTACAACAGAATTAAACTCTAAAAAATAAGTTGAAAGGAAAATAAGCACAGGCATTTTGTCTTGCTCTGTTCAAGTATTTTACTTAATCTTGAGCTGAGCATGAATTTCAGATCTGGAGTATCTGTTTAGTCTGACATTGTACACCACCACGCTGCCAGGCAGCTGGCTGGGTCAAATCCACAGTTACTACCATGCAGTCTGTGTAAAAATACATGCAGACTGTGTTATTGACTGATCTTGAGTAGAAATGATTAAAAAAAATCAACATGAAAGGGTAGAAGGACATTTCTATCTACAAGGGAGATAAAAGCTCGTAACCATCAGTCAAGAGTTTCAGCACCACAAATTTAGCAGAGTATTATTTTAGGAGGTTGAATTATTGCCCAAATTCGCACTCCCTTCCTTTGTTTTACTCTCATGTACAGAGTATGTTTAAAGGCTTGCAACGGATGTTAAGACAAGTGAAGCTTTGACATCTGAACATGATAACGAATGGCCAAATTCCAGGCTGAGAACATTAAAGTAATGCTACAATATTCTGCTTTCTTTATGCCATTTTACACATGTGTAATAACTTCAGTTTCTGTTTAGAGACTTAACTTAGGGGTGGGGGGATTTTTGTTTTGTTTCTGTTTTTTTGTTTTGTTTTTTGTTTGTTTGTGTGGTGTTGTTTTGTTTTTGTTTTACAGAGGGACTTTCTACATTCACAAATTCTACCTCACCAGGTGTAGAAGTAACAGAAGTCCAATCAAGTTTGGTCCTCTCCACGTATACAGGGTCACTCTGGTTAAGGTACCACATTCCAGAAAATTATTCAAGACCAAACTATGCTCATATGAAGCTGTAAGAACTAAGCGGAAGTTGACTGCTTAAGCAATAAAATATTACATAGCCGAGGCCCAAAGAAGGGGAAAGGTAAAAGAGAAGGGGAGGTGTGTGAAGGTGTCAACCACAGGAATACATGAGGCTAGACTGACAAGTAACAACTAAATAGTATTTTCACTAAATACGGGTAAGACTGATGCAGAACAGAAAGGCAGATAACCTGGAGAGTCAGGGAGACTGCCCAAGGCAGAGGGATAACCAGGCCATGGCAAAAAGCCAGACATGAACTGTTCCACTGTCCAGGATGGATTTGATTTCTGAGAGGATCCTCTGAAAACAAACTTGGCTGCCCCTTGCATTGTGCCACTCACCATCCTGTTGTTTCATCTGGGTTACTGAGAGTACCTTCACAGTACTACGGCCCCGTTCTTCATGCTTGACTGGCATGAGGAATTCACCAGATAAACGCTGGCACAATGTTTTTTTGCTGGAATTTTGCAAGTTCTATACATGCAAGTATTTCTTCAAATAAAAATGTTAGAAACCCTGGGTTTAAATTGAAACTTAAGCTTCACATTAATTGGTATGGCTACGGCATAATGAATAAGTGCATCCGTGTGCTCTGCTGGGCAGTATATACTGCAGTAAGGAGGAATTTAATGAAGACTTAGGGTTTCACTCTCATTTGTTTTGATACGTGTGTTGTTAGCCATCCCACAATTTCTGGACTTTCCCCTTGTAAACACACATATTTTCATTTGCAAGCGAACTCGTGATGGTGCCTGAATTCTGTTCTACATCGTCTGCCTTTTGGGAGGTTCAACTCAAGCTACGTACTAAGCACACCTTTGCATCTTCACATTTTCTTTCAAAAATTAAGAGAGAGTCCTCACTTCAGCAGTCTGTCTGCTTACTGTGACATGGCCATACACAGATGTAAATTCGAAGCTGTAGATTTATCAAGACTTACAAACACATCATAAATCCTTAACGGATTTGCAATTAATGAGTGGACCAAGACAGTACCTTCCCAGGCGCTGTACTGTTAAAAATGTGCTCTGTACAGTGGATGCAGGAATGTTTTTATGAAGAACCTGAAGTTGTAAAACTATAAAAATAAAACAGCTGGCTTGCAAGCCACTATAATAATTCAGGATAAAAACTCATACTTCCAAAACAAATCAAGCACATTCCATTGAAGAATTCCCAAAGACTTCAGCTTTTTACTTGCCAGTTCCTAACACTCATGATCTTTGTATAATAACGTATTTGTCTGACCTTAAACAAAAGTTTACTTCCAAACACCCAATGCCATTTACAAAAACTGTTGGCTACTTCAAAAGTTCATTTGTTACAAAAATGGTTAAGTTTAAATGTAACAAGGTGTGCTCATTTATCATTCTACCTTTACAGGAATCACATCCTACCTACAGGGTCTGACCTCTGAATTTTTAACTTCATCTATTCTGCAGTGAAGATTCATCACTACGGCATATGATATAATATAAAAGACAAGGCTGATGTCGTATGTCTGCAGGACAGAGGCACACACCAGGAGCAAGAGTGTACTGGCACTTCCACAATTCTTACTTCAGCTGGGTAGACAGGAGTATGATTCTGAATGATGGACGCTGAGGCAAAGTTCTGTAAGTTGTTGTGTTGCTACAGGGCTCTTTTAGATAATATTGCATCATTTAAAGTCCAACTTGAAATATGGTCCCCAGTAACAGTTCAATCATTCCAGTTCAGAAAGGCCCTTGTTCACACTTACTATTTGAACAAGAAATTAATGGTAAGCTGTAGCAGAACCACGAGTAAAATGAAGACATAGTGCTTAAACTGCAAGAAATGGTAGTCCATGGGTGGTGAATTAGAAGTGACTCTATTTCGTAGAGCCATAATGTCCCTGTAAGACAGAAAATAACATCCTGTAAATTACTATCTTGACAATTTGGCACTTTCTATTATGTTAGGGTTCCCTACAAAAGACAGTTTCTGAGGAAAATTATAAAAAATCATCAAGCAATCAACATTTGGGAAGAAGGGCAGTTTAAAGATATCAAGGCTCTAAAACAGAAAGATACATAGCAGGAAAAGAAATTCTAGAAAATTAGTATTCTCTAAACCATTGTAAAACATTTTATTTAGTACTACCTCTTAATGTCTTCTTGTGTCTCCTTTATAGACTCAATGGCACTCTGCAGTTCACCAAGGTCTGCCCCTTTTTTCCTTATTCTTGTATTATGCTTCAGAAGTTGCGCTAGAAAGGTACAAAAGCCAGATGTAGTTCACAGAAGCGACCGCTAAGTCAGAAAAGGGACAAAGTACTAAGGACAAACTAAACCAGTTGCAAAAGCGAGGAGAAAGTTTTCTAGCTAAGCTTCTACTGAAAACTAAAGCTTTATTTCAGAGTCACCTATAGCACAAAAGGACAGCAAGTTAAGCGCTTGAAATATCTTAAAACACTCACTGTATTGCTTAATTTCTGCAAGCATTATCAGCAACAAAAATCTGCCTTTGAGCAACATACTCATCTACAAATTAAAACAGTTCATCTTGTTTTAAGAAAGAAAAGAGTTTATAAACACAGTTCTTTTTCCCAGATACTAAACATGTGCACCATTTCAGCCTACCTACACTACTTACTGATGTTTAAAAGGACAGGAAAGTTTGCAATTAAAACCATGAGCCATTTTGTTCCTTTTGTTTTTCCACAATGTGCTTCTTATTTGGATAGAACTGTGATCTAAAGCATGCATTATTTCATAATACTAACACCGAGACTGTAACTATGGAGCTCTATTTCACTGTCAAATAGATTTATTATTTCTGTATGCAAATGCATCTTTTCCTACCTTCACTCCCAGAGGAATCCTGGTTATCAGGCTCCGGGGATGAGAAACCACACTCCCCTTTCTTCTGACTGGCCGGTTTTCGTTTCATTTTTGGAACACTAACCTAAATTGATAAACTTATAAATTATTTCCACAGAACCAGAACGGCAGTAAAGCAGTACATTCTAATAGTAATAGTTAAAAGCACAGTATCTAATAGAAATCCAAGTTAAAATTGTCGATGTGTAAGTTTGTGCATCTTCCCGTTTAAGGGAAAACACACATTAAACTGTTGAGGTCAGGTCTGCATTTTTTATATTCCTACCCAATCAAGTCATCTCTGCTGTTCAGGGACAACACAGAAGTGAAAGTCTACGGACTGGGTAAACTACATTTTTGTAGGATAGCAATAGTATTTCCCATCGCTCCGAATGCTTTGATGACCTTTATACACATAATGCAATGCACATAAGTCCCTGGATCTTGCTGCCTGTGCTAACAGAACTGGAACTTACCATTGGTGTCCGATGTCGAACTTTTGTTTGGATGGCGCCATCTTTTTCAAACTGGATCATATCATTTAAAGGGTCCCATGGTCTGGTACTAGACAAAGTGAATATAATTGATTAATACCACAACAGTTTAAATAAGAAGCATTTTCCTGCTCAGAAACTACTCGGTATGAACAGGTTAAAGCTCTCTCTCCCTATACAGAAGTCAGACAAGGAATAAGCAATCTTATCTCCCACCTATAGCCCGGTCCTAACCTGAAGGGCCAAGACAGCCAAAAAATAAACTTCACGTCCAGGTCAAACCCTCAGCCAGCTGGTAAGAGCACAAACTATTGTATTAACCAACAGTATAATTATGAATTTACCTGGCTAGTAATATGTATCTGTCAAACATGGAGAGCTTTTTTGCTTAATGTACAGTTATTATTTTAGAACTACGGGGAAATTAGAAGATTTTTAAAACTATTATTATTTTGGACTGCTGTTTTGTTTGGTGTTTTTTTTTTTTTCTTTTAAAAAGATACCTAGGAAGGAGAGTTTAAGAATCAGTTACCTCAAACCTGCTTTCATCCCAAAGTGGCTAATGGCAATCAAGACTGGTTTCAAAAGGCACTAATGAGCTACACACAGTTTTCTTGTTCTGATTTTTTAAAAGTGCTTTTCCAAGAACAGGCTGATACAGAATTTAAAGAAAAAAATAATAAAGCAGAAGACACATAGCTCACTGGACAACAACTAAAGGCAAAGACTGACATCCCTGCTGATTACAGCCTTTTCAGGACAGAAATTGCAAGCCAGCTGCATGAAGATGCACAGCTTTAGTGAGAGCAGATTACGCATGGATTTCCTTTCATCTCCTCCTCTATGCCTTTTAAAATGGCTGTAGCTGTTTCAGATGTGGTGAACACAGACCTGCATTTACATCTGAGCTTAACCTGACTTGAATTAAATGTCATCTAAGGCAGCCGGGTAAGAACCAGGCATTGCTCTCCCAAAGGTCTTTTTTATCTGTAATCCAGATGCCTAAATACATAATCCAGATACTTTAACACATGCCACAGCTTTCACAGTAAGCAGAAAAGACTGCTCTCTACATGGACCAAGAGGTGAGACAGCATTATTGTGTAAAAGGAGACAGAAGTTTCTTCCAGGGACTGCTGACAGCACAGACTACTTTCTAGCGCATAGTAAAATTTCCATGGCACATCGTTGAACCACAAGGCCTCAAGGAGACAAGAAATAGCGCAAATTAACAAGATAGGTCTTAAAGCTGCAGGGGATAGTCTAACAGATTCAAAGTGCAGTACTTCTCCTGACGGTTTTACACTGGGTTCAACAGTATGGGCAGTCAATTCAGCTGGACTATTCACAACTTTTCCGACAGGGTCATCAGCAGCACCAGAAGGTTCAAACCAAGGAGGGTGTTTCACAGAGCATTTAGTCTAGTTGGGGAATTCCCTGCTGCAGGATGCTTTGGGCGGTAAAAGCCTGCACAGGCACAGACTTAAGAGGAAGCCAAGGGAATTAATGGAAAAGAAATCTATTGAGAGTTGCTAAAAACACAGGATCCCTGCTTGGTTCCAGGAAACCTCCAAGTTGCAAAGTTGCTGGAGCCATGAAGAGCACTCAGGATTCCTGTACTCTTCCCTATACGTGCACTGAGGCCACTGCCCCAGTATTGCCGTTCTTGGACAGAAAGGTGAATGGTTCCCAGGTTTAGCCATGGGAATATACCTCCAGCACCCATGGCTTCAGAATTACTTAACTCAGAGTGTGTCATCTTCGGATGTTTTACTTTTACAATCCCTGCAATGCAGAAGTGTGCTGGGTATTGAAAAAGAATCAGCAGAATGCGGGTGTTCTGTGAAAACCATCACTAGTAAAGGGCCGAGCTCCAAGCTGACTCTTGCAAGCACTGGTGAGAACACAGAATGCATCCCAGCAGTCAGGGAGACAGCTACATCTTCATCTTCTAATACAGATCATGACACAAAGAGATCACAGACACTCATGTGCATCAGGCATATCTGACAGCTGAGCAGAGCCACTTGATCCTAGCATTAATCACTGCTGCAAAACTGTTGTTCTCAGAGTTATTCTAACATATAACAAATTAAACAGCTCAGTTCAACTAAGCACAGGCTTTTCTGATTTCCAGACACTCAATTTTCTGTTTTCCAGTTGGTCTGCCCATATGTACCACATTTTTCAGTCTGGGAAAATCTGTTTTAGCTGCTCCAGTCAGCCTAGGGGCAGGAAAAAAGGAGTGCAATGCATCCCAAAGTGCCATGCCCAAGAAACTCTAGAGCATATCATCGATTTGTAGAGGCACATAACCATAAAGATAAAAAAGAAAAAGCCCATTGCAATAGTTACATGAAACATGGTGTGCTGTATTAGCAATCACTGCCTTTTCAACACTAAAAGGGCCAACCAAGTTCAGCTAAAAATTTATGCATTTTAATTAAACTACATAAATAAGAACATCAAGTAGCAACGTGTATTTCACAAGTTTGAACTTAGCTACATATCTGAGTTCTTTCGCACCTGAAACCACAGGAAGAGGCTCAGCAACACTACCAAGCATTTAACAACCAGGTTTTGTTACAAGCACTTCAGGACTCACTCGGCATATTTGTAGTGCCATTCTCCTGTGACTGAATCCTGATCGAACAGCTTGCAGGTCCACTCTTCACCCTTAAGTTTCCTCTCTTTGGCACTCTTTCTCTGAGCTTCTTCCAGAACATATTTCTCTTGAGTAGCTTCTGTTTGGTCTTTATTATTTATTGCTTTTGTCACTTGTTGCCAAAGCCTGACAAATGAGCAATACAAAGAGTTACAATCTCGTTGACAGAAATAATTGCAAACATTTCCTTAATGACAGGCTAAGTAAACGGACCAACCTCTAAACAGAGTATTACCATATTATAATATATGTTTTATCAACATTTCCATCAAGACTTTCCATGATTGTAAGGTTTGTAAATAATGACCTTGTATTTAACGGTGCTGCTTTCTTGTTTTACAGGCCAGTATCAGCAAACACAGGAAAGAAAGAAGTCATAATTTGTTCTTAATTTGGAGAAGATGAGGAGTTTTATTTTGTCAAAATAATTATACATGGACATGGTTCTAAA